AGAAAGCACTATTTTTCCGATATAATCGTATGAGCTGATGATAAGATTATAGATTGTCCTTATTTCATTTTTTTCTCCCTTTCTTGCTAATTCTTAAAATTTTTAAAATGTGCGAATATTTTTTAGCCATTATGATCCTTTATTCATAAATGGTTAACCTTTGAAAGGATTAATGAATTCAAATACCTTGGAACAATGATCAATGACTAAAACAGCATAACGGCAGAAGTAGACAACCGAATTAAAATGGCAAACAAGTGTTTCTTTGGACTACGAAGGCAATTAAGATCAAACCTAATTAGTCGAAAAACCAAAATTAAAATTTATAAGACTCTTATTCTACCTGTATTGCTCTATGCAAGTGAAACATGGACACTAAACGAAGACACTCAGCGTACTCTTGGTGTTTTTGAAAGGAAAATCCTTCGAAATAATTTTGGCCCAGTATAGGAAAGAGGCTGTTGGCGAATCAGATACAACTTTGAATTATATAGACTCTATGTACAGCCACAGATAGTGCAGGTCATCAGAAGCAATAGATTAAGATGGCTTGGCTATATATGGAGAGGTGCAGAAAACAATGCAGTACGAATTGCCACCTTTAAAAATCCTTCTGGATCTTGGGCCAGTGGAAGACCTCCAACTAGATGGCTGGATGACACTACTAAAGATCTCAAAATAATAAAGATTAACAACTTAAAAAGAGTCGCATGGATAGGAGGCGTTGGAAGCTACGCGTGGTTTAGGCAGCCAAGGTCTGTAAGGGGCTGTCGTGCTGAAGAAGAAGAATATTTTTTAAAAACATTTTTTAATAATTTCTCTCCTCTTTTAAAAAATCTTTACAACTTTTCCTTGTTTTCAGGATATTATTAACTTCTTTAATGAGTTCTATGTACTTGCAGCTCATGCACAATAAATAAAACTTAATGTTATTATTTTTCTTAATTTTCTTCTTTAATCTTCGTTTATTTTCTTTAATTTTCTTTTATTTAAATTTATGCATGCATGTACATGCTTTTGTATTAGATTATTAATAAACAATGCATTCACCTAATGCAGATATTAAATTTCTGAATGTGTTAGTGAGTTTCTTACGGAAATGAGTAATGGTTAAAATTGAATTTTGTTTTAAATGGGTTATTGCGGAAGCAGGTAAGTGCCTAAGAAACTTTGTATCCTAGTGGTCACAAATTAATTCTTAAGAGAGAAAAAAATCTTTTAAAACTCTTAACTATGTCTTATATTAAATAATACTTTGTATCCTAGTGGTCACAAATTAATTCTTAAGAGAGAAAAAACAAATCTTTTAAAACTCTTAATTATGTCTTATATTAAATAAAGAACAAAACAGGGATTAAAATGATCTAAAAGCAATAAATTGGTTTAATTGAAAATGAAACTTAAACGCGATTTTAGACAGATGCATTAAAGTTTCAGTAGAAAGATTAACTAGTTTTTAAAAATTTTAATCTCTTCTTTATTTTTCCCGACTTCAATAAATATTGAGCGTTATCGTCGTAGAACGTTTTTATTCATGCTCAATTAGATATTCATTTGAATTCCCTTATGTGCATAGCTCTAAAAACATTTTATTTTGAGAATACTGGAGATTACAGTGTATACATAAAAAATACACTGCCCATAGTTATTTTTTAACTTTAAACTACATAAATAAAATAACTGATAAATTTGGATTGAACACATTTGATCATTAGGTATCTTTTCAAACACTTTGAACGGATGAAATATTTCTCCCAAATGTTTCTAAACGCCCTATTAGGATTTATTTCAATTGTAAATAATTATTCATGCCCAAAGGGATCAAATGAAGATAAAAGCGAAATCTGCCATTGATTTTTTGGGAATATCTGTTATTTAAGTTAAATGCAAAGATCTTAATGCTGGCTTTGTCTTTCCTTTTGCTGTTATAACGTTATTTTTTTACTCATTTAATCATTATTGTTTCATTTATAATGATAAAAGTATAAAAAAAGCAGATTCTTTGAGAGGAAGAGGGAATTAACCACATTTAAACGCGACCAACATCAAAACTCAAAAAATAAATTAAAATTATAATAAATGTTCTTTTATCAAGGAAAATGTCTATATATATATATATATATATATGATAATTAGCCAGATGTGCTGGCCTGCACCTATAGTCCCAGCTACTCAGGA